TCAAAGTTGAAATCACAATATGCATAACTGAATTTCAAGTTTTTTGGAATCTTGAATTACCCTGTAGATCGGTATTTGCTCAATATCAAAGAAATTCAAGTGATGAATCCCTCCCTAGGGTACCTATTTCATGAACAAACTCTTGTTTCATGGATAGATCAGCTGGAATTGAAGACATTTCAAAATTTTCAATTTTAAAAAAGATGCTGCATGTTAATGAAGTATGCTAGAGGAAAAATCTCCAAACCGTTTCGGCAAAACACATCAAGCATTCATAATATGCCCTAGTAAAAAATCCGAAAATTTTTCCATATGATTGGGATAATTTCGAAAATATTCATTATTGTAATGGGTCAATGTTTCTCCCTGTGTATCTGAAAACACAAACTTCATGGACAAAGTAGGTAGACCATCTCATTGAACAATTATTACACAACACGGAACAAACCGTATCAGAATCGGACTAGTATTTTTTATAATATTTGATTTCGAAATTAAAAGAAAAATTCAGGTAGACCACTTCATTTGTCACGCAGTTTATATGTTTTTTTAAACTTAGCCGCCCCTGCGCTAATCGCTAAACGAAAGTCGCTGACTGACGGCAGGCTACTGCTATACACCCTAACTACATAATAACGAAATTTCAGCCTTTGAAAAACCGTTTACAAATTTTCGCCACTCACCTCTGCGTCTAGTAGGATTGTTGATTTTTTTCAATTTATATTTTTACCCAATTTGGTCTTCAATATTGCTGAAAAGAGGGATACTGGGTGAAGTCATGAATTATAGAAACAAGAATATTGGGCAGACAAAAACGATCAATCGAATTGATTGTAGAAGTTTCACACAACTGTTGAGTTTTGGAGTTTTGAACATATAACTAACTGTTTTGTTAAAATGTAAAATGGCATGCCTTTGTAATTTCCCAATAAAAATACAAACTTGAAGTACATCAAACTCTCTCTCATTCATTCAACTACTCCTCAACATCATGTATAATCACTTGAGGTTCACCATGCATGAACAGCTATTGCATGTCACAACTTTTCAAATTGACAAGTGTGATTCCCTCAAAATCCGACTCCGAGTTGAATAACAAGGGAATGAGAATGAGTGTCGCTGGTGAGTGAAGGAGCTCAGAATGCTTCAGATGTGGCAGTTAACGTGCTCGCTGCCGCCAGCTGATTTATCAATTTTCCTCGATATTTATACCTATCTCACCTAATCTTTCGAGATCTTTCGCCAAAATCTTCGAACACCTTCCAATGTGGTCTTTCCGAGAAGAGCGCGAGAGTCTATTTCGGAAAATATAGCCTCCTTGCAATATTTTGTTAGCAGGAGCATACAACCCTTCTACATTATGTGTAATCATTTTTAGTTCATCCTATATGAATAGCTATTGCAAAGTGACTGCAACACTCACTCACATCACAATATAACATGTAACAACCTTCAAATTGACAAGCGATTCCATCAAACTCAGACCATGACTTTTTCCTTTTGCAGTAGCGCATAAACGGAGAGCAGCGAGTTGAATAACAAGGGAATGAGTATCGCTGGTGAGTGGAGGAGCTTAGACCGCTTCGTATATGGCAGATCCAGCTAACATGCCCGCTGCCGCCAGCTGATTCATCAATTTCTCTCGCTAGTCGCACTCTCAACCTCACCTGACCTAAGACATTCTATCGTCTTTATAACCTTTCGAGATCTTTCTCCAAAATCTCCGAACATCTTCCAAGAAACGCCCAGGTGATGTGGCATTTTCAAGAAGTGCGCGAGAGTCTATTCCGGGAAAGATAGTTTCGTAACAATATATTGTAGTCAGGAATCTATTACCCTTCTACATAATCTATAATCACTTGTAGTTGATTCTGTATGAATAGCTATTGCAGAGTAACTGCAACACCCACTCACATCACAATACAACATGTAACAACCTTCAAATTGACAAGTGCAATTCCCTCAAACTCTGATCATGATTTCTTCCTTTTGCAGAAGCGCATAAACGGAGAGCAGCGAGTTGAATAACAAGTGAATGAGTGTCCCTGGTGAGTGGAGGAGCTCAGACCGCTTCGTCTATGGCAGCATCCAGCTACATCAATTTCTCTCGCTAGTCACTCTCAATAACCTAACCTGACCTAAGTCATTCTAGCGTCTTTATAACCTTTCGAGATCTTTCGCCAAAATCTTCGAACATCTTCCATGAAACGCCCGGGGATGTGGCCTTTTCGAGAAGAGCGCGAGAGTCTATTCCGTGAAAGATAGACTCGTAACAATATATTGTAGTCAGGAATCTACTATCCTACATGATGTATAATCGTTTGTAGTTCACCCTGTGTGTTATTGCAGAGTAACTGCACACCCACTCACATTACAATACAAGTACTAACCTTCAAATTGACAAGTGCAATTCTCTCAAACTCTGACCATGACTTTCTCCTTTTGCAGAAGCGCATAAACGGAGAGCATCGAGTTGAATAACAAAGGAATGAGAGTCGCTGGTGAGTGGAGGAGCTAAGACCGCTTCGTCTATGGCAGATCCAGCTAACATGCCCGCTGCCGCCAGCTGATTTAGCAAAATATCTCGCTAGTCGCTCTCTCAATAACCTTACCCAACCTAAGACATTTTAGCGTCTTTATAACCTTTCGAGATCTATCGCCAAAATCTTCGAACATCTTCCACGAAACGCCCGAGGGATGTGGCCTTTTCGAGAAGATCGCGAGAGTCTATTCCGGGAAAGATAGTCCTGTAACAATAATTTGTAGTCAGGAATCTACTGCTATTACCCTGTGTGAATAGCTATTGCAGAGTAACTGAACCACCAACTCACATCACAATACAACATGTAACAACCTTCAAATTGACAAGTGTTTTTCCATCAAACTCAGACCATGACTGTTTCCTCTTGCAGAAGCGGAAAAACGGAGAGCATCGAGTTGAATAACAAGGGAATGAGTGTCGCTGGTGAGTGGAGGAGCTCAGACCGCTTCGTCTATGGCAGATCCAGCTAACGTGCCTGCTGCCGCCAGCTGATCTATCAATTTCTCTCGCTAGTCACTACCAGACATTTCAGCGTTTTCATAACCTTCCGAGACCTTTCATAGAAATCTTCTAACGCCTTCCACGAAGCGCCAGGTCGATCTAGTCTTTCCGAGACGAGAGTCTATTCCGGGAAAGATAGTCATGTAACAATGATTTGTAGTCAGGAATCTACTACTATCACCCTGTGTGAATAGCTACTGCAGAGTAACTGAACTACCCACTCACATCACAATAGAACATGTAACAACCTTCAAATTGACAAGTGCGATTCCATCAAACTCTGACGATGACTTTTTCCTGTTGCAGAAGCGCATAAACCGAGAGCAGCGAGTTGAATAACAAGGGAATGAGTGTCGCTGGTGAGTGGAGGAGCTCAGACCGCTTCGTCTATGGCAGATCCAGCTAACGTGCCTGCTGCCGCCAGCTGATCTATCAATTTCTCTCGCTAGTCACTACCAGACATTTTAGCGTTTTCATAACCTGCCCAGACCTTTCATAGAAATTTTCGAACGCCTTCCACGAAGCGCCCGGTCGATCTGATCTTTCCGAGACGAGAGTCTATTCCGGGAAAGATAATCCTGTAACAATGATTTGTAGTCAGGAATCTACTACTATCACCCTGTGTGAATATCTACTGCAGAGTAACTGAACCACCCACTCACATCACAATAGAACATGTAACAACCTTCAAATTGACAAGTGCGATTCCATCAAACTCTGACGATGACTTTTTCCTGTTGCAGAAGCGCATAAACGGAGAGCAGCGAGTTGAATAACAAGGGAATGAGTGTCGCTGGTGAGTGGAGGAGCTCAGACCGCTTCGTCTATGGCAGATCCAGCTAACGCGTCCGCTGCCGCCAGCTGATTCATCAATTTCTCACGCTAATCGCTCTCTCAACCTTACCTGACCTAAGACATTTTATCGTCTTTATAACCTTTCGAGATCTTTCTCCAAAATCTCCGAACATCTTCCACGAAACGCCCGGGTGATGTGGCATTTTCAAGAAGTGCGCGAGAGTCTATTCCGGGAAAGATAGTTTCGTAACAATATATTGTAGTCAGGAATCTATTACCCTTCTACATAATCTATAATCACTTGTAGTTGATTCTGTATGAATAGCTATTGCAGAGTAACTGCAACACCCACTCACATCACAATACAACATGTAACAAACTTCAAATTGACAAGTGCAATTCCCTCAAACTCTGATCATGATTTCTTCCTTTTGCAGAAGCGCATAAACGGAGAGCAACAAGTTGAATAACAAGTGAATGAGTGTCGCTGGTGAGTGGAGGAGCTCGGACCGCTTCGTCTATGGCAGATCCAGCTAACGTGCCCGCTGCCGCCAGCTGATTCATCAATTTCTCTCGCTAGTCGATCTCTCAACCTTACCTGACCTAACACATTCTATCGTCTTTATAATCTTTCGAGATCTTTCTCCAAAATCTCCGAACATCTTCCACGAAACGCCCGGGTGATGTGGCCTTTTCAAGAAGAGCGCGAGTGTCTATTCCGGGAAAGATAGTCTCGTAACAATATATTGTAGTCAGGAATCTATTCATAATCATAATCTATAATCACTTGCAGTTGATTCTGTATGAATAGCTATTGCAGAGTAACTGCAACACCCACTCACATCACAATACAACATGTAAAAACCTTCAACTTGACAAGTGCAATTCCCTCAAACTCTGATCATGATTTCTTCCTTTTGCAGAAGCGCATAAACGGAGAGCAGCGAGTTGAATAACAAGTGAATGAGTGTAGCTAGTAACAATATATTGAAATCAGGAATCTACTACCCTTCAACATGATGTATAATCGTTTGTAGTTCATCCTGTATGCTATTGCAGAGTGACTGCAACACCCACTTACATCACAATACAACATGTAACAACCTTCAAATTGACAAGTGCGATTCCATCAAACTCTGACGATGACTTTTTCCTGTTGCAGAAGCGCATAAACGGAGAGCAGCGAGTTGAATAACAAGGGAATGAGTGTCGCTGGTGAGTGGAGGAGCTCAGACCGCTTCGTCTATGGCAGATCCAGCTAACGCGTCCGCTGCCGCCAGCACTAGCCGCCGCAAGCGCGTGCTGCCCGCGCAGCCGCGCGCCGAGGCCAAGCGTCTCAGGACCTCGTCGCAGGAGAGCAGGAACGCGGACAGGTCTTCCAGGAATTACCACAAAGTATGTAGCCGTTTATTATCTAATAATAGTGGGAGCTCCTTGTGAATTGTTTTGGTGTTATGCAATAAAAAAAAACCTTTTTTTATAAATCAACTAACTGTCCACCCTGGCTTCGCACGATTGGGGTACTCATTTGAAAAATATAATAATATAAAAAATATAAGACATTTCACCAAAAATAGAGAAACTGGAAAGTCATTACCACAATAGTTCTCAAAATGAACGAAAATAGTAGATAACAACTACTTTCCTGGCTATATGCCATGCAGAACATTGGATTACATCCTCCCGAAATCTAAGCAATAATTCGTATAGACTAATAAAATCGCAAGTGTTTGCTTCCTAAACGCCGAGCAGCATCTTTGTTATCTCAAATGGGACACCTGTATATTACCGCATTTTGAACTTATCACCACTTTCTGATTATTTCTGCCTCATACTATTCCATACTATCCCTAACGGTTTTTGAGATATTGATTATTTTGCATATTTTTTATCCAAAACAGCTTGAATTGAATGTTTATTTCTGCGGTATTTGGATTCTTAGGAATTTGCAATTTTGTGTTCATCAAGATTATGTATATTGATTCTGTAGAGAAAAGTTGGTTCTGCGTTATACAGGGTCGTTCAAAATTCATGATCTTACTGCTAAGTGGTTCAGGAACGTGTGACTTCCTGCAGACCGGTTTTGACCTGTTGGCTCTCATCAGTACAGGGCTGTCCCAGATAGCTTCTTGACCGCTATCTGGTGCGAACCTGACCCAACGTAAACGCATCTCAGCATTTATACCCCACGAGGCGTTCGATGTCCGCGAAATGAAAACACGAAGGCCGAACGCCACCTGGCAAAGAAAGAAACACTCCAAAACAAGATCCCATTTCAGGTAAAATGGGAGTGGCTGGTTGCCCGACTGGCGTATGCTTAAGTGGTAAAAAGACAAATACTCAAAGTGGAATGGATGCAATTGTCACAAAAAGAGAGAACCTCAAAGTCATTACCACGATACTCCATGAAATGAATGAAAATGGTAGATAACGAGACAAAAACAACTACTTTCCTGGCTATATGTCACGCAGAACATTGGATTACATCCTTCCGAAATCTATGCAATAATTCTTATAGACGAATAAAATCGCAAGTGTAAGCCGAGCTGCGCCTAAGTAGTTCAGGAACGCTTTTTCCAACTTATAAGACATTTGTTGCAGTCGTTCTGAGCTATGCTATGCAAAAATTTTGAGCTTACCTGTAGCAACTATTATATACTTACACCTATTTTCATTCTATCAGTATCTTTCGTATTTTTTTTTTACATTTGACGTACCGACGGCAGCGCCACCTACCGCGTCCAATTGTATTTTCAGCTGTTTAGAAGTATGTGAAAGGATAAAATGAAAGGATAATGCTTACTACCTTTTGTCCTATTACTCGTTTCCCCGTAGGAATGAAGTTTTTTCCCGCGTTATAAAGTAGCCTTTGTTCAACAGGGATAATATCGGCTTCTAATGAGGAAATAAGTTTTCAAATCGGTCCAGTAGTTTCGGAGCTTATTCACTACAAACACACAAATCTTTCCTCTTTATTATATTAGTATGGATTCATTCTACTTTTTTATTTCTTCAAGAATTTCATAATAACTGGAACTTTATATACTCACAATATACCTTTTGATGATTTGTTTTTCGTTTTCTTCAAGTAGATCTGAGACATTGAGTTTTGCTCACCCTGTGAAGTTGAATAATTTTTTGAATCACATGCTAACTATTGATTTTGGTGAGCAAATCGAGTGAGATTGATATTTTAATGTTACAGATCAAAAGTGGGAAATCTGGACAATCCCAAAATCGAAGTTCTGAAGAACCTGATACACCAATACTCCTGAGATCAAAATCCCACGGAGAGATACCAATATCGTCTTCAAGTCATAGAGACAGGAATAATTCAGTTATTTCTGTTCCTAAAACGAAAAGTAAATCGAAGCCAGATCCAGATCTAGACCTTGAACCTAAAACAAAGAGAAACTCTCGACATAGCCTAAACCTTAGTCACAAACAAGACACATCAGAAATTAGTGTAAAGAATAATAATATTGAAGCGTCTACTTCACTAGCTAGTATACCGTCTGAATCAAAAAAGAAGAGGAAGCCAAGGAAAGGATCATCTCCTAGAAGTTCTAGTGAGAGACAGGAAGAAGACAAGGGCTCTAGAAGCACTAGGAGCAACAATTCAAATTTTTCTAAAATTGAGTTCAATTTCAAGGACAAGGCAGAGAAGACAAAGAAGGTTGATAAGAAGAAGAGTATATATTTTAAAGTGAACTATTATTCTGAAGGTAGTTTGGAAGCCAGCACATCAAGTTTGAACGCTACCCACCCACAAGTGAGTAATACTATATCAATGTTGGCTTGTCATTAAGTTTTATTTCTTTGATTCACACAAAGATTTCTTGAAGTGAATGAAAATTATAAATCTTCGTAATCTGGATAAACACCAGATATATAATAAACTATCGGGTGTTTACACATCCCATATATGAAATGAGTAAGTAATGTTGTAAACATATTAATATATAAAGTTATTCAAAAGAGAATAGCATCTGAATTAAGATTCCATTCGGAAGTGATCAATAAATTAGCTAGTTAGAAACATTCATTATTGTTGATATCATGAAATCACTTACAAAAGAATATAATTTTAGGAACATTTTAATGTTGATATCATTAAGGGTCTATGTTTCATCTTACTTTTTTCATTGAATTGTATTTTCGATTTTCCCAAGTCAACTCAATAAATTTCAAGGGAATAGGATGAAGATGCATCCGATTTTCTTTCACATATTTTCCTGTAGTTCCATGGTTCATATTTCAATAAATTTTCAACTTCATTAACATGGCATTGATAGCGTTTTCCACTCGTCGCTAGATCGAACTTTTACGGCACTGAGCGCGTTTTGCGTGGTCCACTGAGATTTTACATAACCTTGAATATTCCAGAGAAAAATGTTTGAAATTAGAATAATTATGAATGTCTGATTGAAGGTCATTACATTAATTCCCGAAATCATTGATTCTTTGGATACAAGTACAAGTACTTTGTTATGAAAGACACATTATGGAAGAATCAAAATTACCTAAAAGTTGAAGGGGCAGGTATTTATTGTTGTTGATTCAGTAATGATGAGACTTCTGAAATGCTAAATCACTATTGTCGACATTCAATTGAACTTCATTGACAATGAACTTTCATATAAGACTGTTTCTCTAGCAATGTTCACAGAGAAACCACAAGAGGTGCATAAATTCATTTTATGTGGACCAGCCAAACCATAAAAATTCTTCCAATATGTAATATCGTTTGAAAAGCTCATAATGCTTAAAAAATCCTGAAGATCACATAATCTGACGTCACTGATTTGATTTTTATGATCCAGTAGGAGCGTAACCTCTTGCTCAACTCAAACAAACAGAAAGCTTGATTTACTGCTCAGCACAAACGAACAAAAAGCAGTGGCACAAATCATTTCTGAACATAGCCTGAGAGTAATTTCCAAATTTATCTTGATTTGGTTTTGATTGGAAGTTTTGATCGTTGATGTTGATTGAGAGAAAAAAATTACCTCGGCAATGTTAACAATTCTACTCTTTTTTGCCATATTTACACATTATTGTTGCATTTTCCGCCTTTTCCTTCGTTTTTATTTGCCATCCAACTTGATCAATCTGATTTGATTTTTCTGCTCCCTGAAAATTCGCGGAGCAAATAAACTCCACTTCAAGTGATCTATGGCAACTTGCTCCAGTCAAACGAACACTCATCATCAATTGATCAGAACAAACGAACATCAAATATTGCTCACATCACTTTTTATCAGGGCGAGCAGGAAAAATCAACAGGACTAATAATTTATGATTGAAACAAGTATTCTTACATCGAAGAAAATACATGTTTTCCAATGTCCAGGAAAACTAAATACCGTGTAGAAAATACTAAATTGTCTCGTGTGATGACACGAAAGTAATGTACAACCAGAAGTCAGAACTGTCACAACCCACCCTATAAAACATTTTTCTGATTATAACCTCTTACTGACAAATATCAACATGAAACAAACGGGCTATGGGTCACGTGCACATATGATAGATGACCGACCCTGGAGGAAAATCAACCTCACTCTTCTTATCTGTTTACATAGGATTGAAATAGTTTTTCACAATCATTTTGGCATAGGAATCGTGTTTCTTGGGATATTTATTTATTCAAGCATGACATCACATTGTGCTCTTGTACAATGCACAGATAACGCCTAGTCACTCACATTTAATCAAACTGGAGGACTGGTCTGAAATGCTGACGAAATATGGTCATGTGTGTTGTAGACCTTTTCTAGGAATCCTAAAGAGAAATGACTTTAGTCCTGTGTGTTGTAGACATTATCAATAAATTAGCTCCTATTGCAGAAGGATTTCTAAAGAGATGAGTCAAAATATGAAAACTATGTGACTATGACTTTTAGATCACAATTTACCTGAAAATCGGTCATCTGTAAAATGGGCACGCGACCTATTGGCAGCTTCCAGTTCAGCAGTGTCGCCATCGAAGATCTACTGGTGATCTACTTGCCTACGTCACCCATTTATGGCAATCTTCAATAGAAAAACACGGGGAATCTCTAGCTGTCGCGTTGGACATATCGAAAGCATTCGACCGTGTTTGGCACGAAGGACTCCTCCACAAACTACCATCATACGGCTTACCACCTCAGCTATGCCATCTCTTATCGAGTTTTCTTTCAGGCAGATCGCTTCACGTGGTGGTGGACGGTGTATCGTCTGATACCATTGGCATCAATTCCGGCGTTCCACAAGGATCAATTTTGGCACCAACATTATTCCTGCTTCATATCGATGATCTGTTGGGAGTAACAACTTGCCCCATCCACAGCTTTGCAGATGATAGTACCCTCCATACTGCGTTCTCTTCCAGAATTCCCATTTCTTCCCAGGAAACTAAGAACTCACGGCGTAGGCAGGTCAATGCTGTCAATGAAGATCTTGCTGAAATCACAGCCTCGGGAACGAACAACCTAGTTGAATTCAACGCCACCAAAACTCAAGCCTGCATTTTCTCTAGAAAGGCGGAACTCAGTATGCCCGATATTGTAATGTCTGGCTCCACCATCCCCACCAAGCCCACCATATCTATGCTCGGTATTTCCATCAGCAACACTCTTTCATGGGATAATCATGTCAGATCCATCACAAAAGCTGCTTCACAAAAACTCGGATTCTTGTTCTGTGTGAGAAGCTACTTCACACCTCAACAGCTTCTCATGATCTACAAAGCGCAGATACGGCCTGTTCTAGAATACTGTTCCCACATATGGGGTTCAGCACCAAAACATACGCTGATGCTCTTAGATTCCATCCAGAGAAGAGCCATTCGCCCGGGTGGGTGACGCCACACTCACTCACTCTTTAACATCATTGGAACACCGTAGAAAGGTCGGCGACCTTTCACTTTTCTATCGATACTTTCACGGGAAATGTTCTTCAGAAATCTCTGCTATCATCCCTTCACTAGCAATACCAACCAGACGAACTAGACAAGCCCAGTCAGCACATCCTTTTGTTGTCAACCTCGAAAGATGTGTTCCCAACAACATATAATCTCCAAAAGTTCAAAAAAAATTCCAATACCTACCTCCTGTCCCTATCCTCCCTAGGAACGCACGATGTTCTTTGAACATTATAGGTATTCCCTTTCGTGCGCTCCAAGCGATAAAAAAAAGGCACAGACAGATTTGGGATCAGTGAATAGAAAATATTATATCTACTCGCCCACTAACTTTAACCTTCATCGTTCTGCTCAGCAACGCCTCAAATATATTTTTTTGTTGCAGTCACACAAATATCCGCTGAGAAGCCAGACCAAATCGTCGAGCAGCCTCAACTCGTTAACTTCAGGCGGCGCCTTGCCACATCCTTTGCCGCCGCCTAGGAGGTCGTTACCGGAGCGCGGTAGACGGGAACTTTTAGGTATTTATTTATTTTCGATTGACATTACAATTTAGATATCTTCAAAATTCTCTAAAGTCCTCTTTGGTCCCAAACATAAACGGTTGGAAATTGAAGAATTATTCCCTATCAAGCTCAATTGAGTTGAAATTCCTATTGTCAAAGAGAGTAAAAATTTTGGTTTGTGGCTTGATTCTGATCTCAGATTCCACAAACATATTGATTCACTCTGTCAGAGTTCATACAATATTCTTTGCCAACTATATCAGAGTAGATATATCATGTCCTCAAAACTCAAACTGAAACTCTGTGATACACTGATACTTTCAAGACTATCATATTGAGATATTATTTATGGCCCCGCTATAATACAAATGGACGTGAAACGTCTACAAAAAATTCAAAATAATTGTATCCGTCATTCATATGGAATTCGTAAGTTTGAACACATATCTGCTAAATTTGAGGAATCCGGTTGGTTGAGACTTGATAAAATTTGGCAGCAACACCTCCTCGTGAATACCCACAAATTTGTTACAATGAAAACGCCAGATTATATCCACAAGAGATATACCACCTTTAAATCTCAAGGTAAATCGAGTACACGTAACCGTGACACCTTCATTATTCCAAAGCATTCATCAGTTTGTTTCACACGTAGCTTCATGTATAACTCGATCAAGCAGTATAACTCTTCCTAATCACTTCAAAAACGACTCATTGCTGAATTTCAAGAAAAGGTTGAAAGAATACCTCAAAGCAGGATAGATTGGATGATAACAACGCCTTGTCTGATTTTTTTTTGTTTTTTTCTCTGTTTGTGAGCTTCCTATTTGTATTCCTATTGAATATGTGAATATTTTATCGTCGTATATGTACTTGTATGTGTATATTTATATATATTCACTCATATATTAATATGTTTATATTACCTTACATGGTTAGGTTGTAAAACAGCGCAAGCTGAACTTCGCGTTTTCATCGAGCATCATTATAATTTGTAGATCTCTTGTTCTTATAAATTATTAGTTATTGATGAATAAAGCCCATTTATTATTTATTATTTATTATTAAGTGGCTAAACCAGACAATTTTCGAAAAACACATGTTTCACTTATAATACCATGAGAGCCTCAATTATTACCGGATATTTTTTCGAGAACATGAATATTTTGAAAATTTTCCTGATTCAAAGACGACAAAACACCAATTTAGTTATGCAAAATATTGATGAGGCAGCTGGTGGTAGTTCAAACTATTATTCTTGCCCAACTTTATTCCACTGAAGTTGGTGGAAACATATTTTGTGACAAGAACAATATATAGAGAAGGGAAGTCGTTGCTGACAAGTTAGAGATGAAACTTAGTAGTGGGGAAGCAGCAAAGTAAAAGTGAAACTCATGCAAGTTCGTCCAAGCTTTCGGAAAGTTATATTTCCATCATCAGGGCCAGACTACAAAATGTTATAAAAATTATAAGCAAAGCTAGTTGACTAAGGAGTGCAGTACTTACAACTCATTGAGGTTGGTTACATTGATGTTACTAACACGGTATATATAAATAAAAAAATGACAAATTCAAAAAATTAAAATATTTGGTCAATATCAAAAACGTTGTTGATTTAAAATCATGATGAACTTTTCTTTTCACAACGTGTGTCAGAATAAAAATCTTAGGTTAGGAAAACTGAACCTTATTCTTCCAATTCACTGGTGACATGGAACTAAAATGTGATGACTTTGGTCTTATGGTACCTAGTACTATTGTGTGTTAGTCACAAGAGTATTGGAAGGAGAAAGTTTGTAGATTATTAAGTTACTGGTAAAATTCTTGAAGGCAATATGTGCATCATATCAAGATTAATAGGGAGTTGTTTTTATTGGTTATGTTGAATTGTTATTATTTAACACCGTATTGGGGTTATCAATTGATAAAAGATATGAATAAATTTCACTAAGATTGTTAATGTCCGATCTTTTGTTAATACAATCTGGTTCCTGGGCGATGAAAGACATTTCCAAAAAGGTTCTTTTTTTGTGATTACTTTCTGTAGCTAAAATTCTTGCTGATTGAAAATCCATTGTATGGTCAGAGGAATTTACATGGTCCGCCAAAGCACACCTTACTGGATGGAAATATACATGTATATATATATATACAGGGTGATTTCAAAACGTGATGGATTTGAAAATGTTATCGTCGATGTTTCCACTTTTTCAGTTATTCCGGAATTATTATTAACTTCCTTATTTCAAATAGAACACCCTATATTTCGTGGCATTGTCGGATTCTCCTTTGTGAGCTGATTCCATCAACGCATCACACTTGGGGTCCAGCGAGAATGATTACTGAGATGTTCGCGATAGAAAATAAGCGTACGCCACCTATCGGAGTTCTAGAAAGCTGTCAAAGCGGCATGTTTACTTTGTTTTCATTGGTTCACATTTGTTTTTGTTTGTGCTTATTGGTCATATCATCAAAACAAACCGCTCAGAAGTGTTCAAGTTGCTGCGTTCAGGTGGGGCGACGTGTTATTTTCTATCGCGAATAGGGTGTTTAAAATCGAGATTTTTCAACTTTACGATTTTTTGTCTCGAAACTATTCATTATTAGTCAGAACGGCTTACATGTCCCTATCTTAACTTTTGATTTACTATTGATTTTAATAATAATAATAATAATAAGTTTATTCAAAAACGTTTACAAAATATACATTGGAATAAACATATAGGTAATTTGAATAAACTGGGAAAAACCTTACGAAGTTAACCTTGTAGTAAGGATAAAAAATAAATAAATGTACATAGGTCAATAAATATTTAACAATATCAAATTATCACAAGGGAAAATTGTCTCATTTAGAAATGAGACAAGTATTCAATTCATAATATATAGTGTACTGAGCATTTCATTCAATACGCATAATTATTTATATTCATACATACTTATTCACAATTGTTATTAAAATTTATCTAATGATATTATTAAATGTTAATTAAAGAAATAAAATAATTTCTAGGGGAGTTTAATATCCAGTTTTTTATTTTTATTGTATAGGATTGTAGTGATTTTGTTTTTATAATATCATTTGGAATTTTATTATATAGGTAAGGAATTAAAAATTCAAAATTTCTACGTCCAAATGACTTGTTTGTTTTATATTTCAATGTTATGTTATTTTTATTTCTTATGTCATGTTTTTTGAACTGAATTTCCTTTTTATTTTTGAAAATATGAATCAATAAATTGTAAATATAGAGTTGATTTATATCCATTTTCTTAGATTCCTTATATAAAAGTTCAGTTGGAAACAAATAATCTTTTCCATAAATAATTTTTAAAATCCATTTTTGTGCAATTTCCAATTTTCTCAAATATATCTGCTTCACTCCACCCCATCCTAATATCCCATAAACTAATTGAGATTGAACTAAAGCATAGTATATCATTTCTAAATTTCGAATATTTAATGAGTTTTTCAAATGTTTGAATTTAGGAATGAGGCATCTTATTTTCTTAGTGACATAATCAATATGATGTTCCCATTTCAGATTATTGTCCACCATTATACCAAGGTATTTGATACAGTCAGTTTCCTGAATTTCAATTTCTCCATTTATCTTGATAGTGCCTGAATTTGGTTGAGAATTTTGATAGGAAGTAAATGTCATATATTTTGTTTTTTCAAAATTAATTGTTAACAGATTCTGATCAAACCATTCTTTAATAATAGGAAAATCATTAATTACTTTGTTTTTCGATTCACACCAATCTTTCGCGGAGTAAAAGATAACAGTATCATCTGTGAAAGAATGTATAGTACCAGCTGAATTTAGTTGTAGTAAGTCATTCAAATAAATATTGGTAGTTACTTCAAATATTTATTTGAGCTAATTGTTTCGGTTGCGGAAAAATAGCATGTTTCATTTGGATCAAAAGTGACTTTGTTTTTATTCCTGTTAAATACCTAAAGAGTATTTATTTCTGTCTTTTTTATTCAAATATACAATATCTAATATCTATTTGGGGAAGTACAAATATTTCACGTTTGAAGCCACTCATGAAATTACAAAATAAAACAATAAAGTGCATTTTCAATTTACCTTTTTTAGAATCAACTGCGAATCTATACAAACCTAAAGACTTGCTGAATCTAGTTTCATTACATAAACTCAAAATTTGTTGTTTTATTCATTTTGTCAGGAAGGAATTGAAAATATCGAATCTGAATTTTAATGAAGTTAATACGATTCACGCCCATGAAACAAGGCAATTCAATTTATTGATAGCAAATAATTATAAGTCAAATTTTGGTAAACAATCAATATTCCATAATGGAATAATTTTGTATAACTCCTTACCTAATGAGTTGAAAAATATAGAAGAAGCAGAAAAATTTAAAATGAAATTGAAGAAATATCTGATCAGTAAACTTTAATAGTACTAATCATTCACAATTTGATTACTTGTAATGGATTATGATATTTTCATTTTATATTTTATTATAATTCTTTTTTTTTTTAGGAAAAACAATAATTGTGCAATTATTATTGTTTCGATTTATTATGTTTTATAATATGTATGTTTTTTTGTATATATCCCTATTATAAACAATAATGTTTCTTGGGGTAATAAAGACAATCAAAAAAAAATCAATCAATCAAATATTGCTCTCAAAATTCGCTTGTCAAACAAAGTGTCACTTTTGATCCTAATAGAACAATCTACTATTCTGTTGCAGCGCTGGGGGCGAGCGGCAGCAGCAGCAGCACCGCCGCCAACCAGCCACCGACGGGGCGGGAGGCGACAGCGGGCGGGGGCGCGGGGGAGCAGCCGTCGCGTTTGACGCGCAGCGGGGCCGTCCTCAGGCGCAGCACTCGCAGCAGCAAAGGTCAGTGATTCCGGTGCTTTTTTATCCCAAAGATATTCATGGTCTTTATTATGCCCAAGTAACGATTTAGATTAGATTGGAATGGGGCCTTCGGGCTATCTGCCTCCACACTGCGACCTTTTCAGATCTATTGTGCCTGCCCTCAAAATGGATTAGAGTTCTTCGGCTAGCCCCGCCTTCTCTATGAGACTTCATAGGCTAGCTTTCAGATCGCCTGTGTATCTCTGGGCTACTGGTTTTTCCTCGCCCAGCGTAAGGAACCTTAGTCTTGACAAGCCCTCACAGTGGCAAAGTATGTGTACTGCTGTTTCTTCCTCTTCTTTACAGAACCTGCACAGCAGTTCTTCAGTCAGACCTATCGTACTCATGTGTTTGTTGAGCCTACAATGCCCTGTTTGAAGTCCCACTAGTATTCTAGTTGAACTTCGTTTCTGGCTTAGTAGATATTCTGTGAATGTTGGCGATGGTTTTTTAATAAACTCTTTTGCCTGTCTCATTCCTGGCGAGTTGTTTCACCATTCTTGAGATTTGGTTTGCATCCATGATTTGATACTAGTCTTTTGTATAGCTTTCGTAATACCACAGAAGGGTTATGGGCCATTAGGAGCTTTGTTTGCTCCTGCTCGGGCAAGTGAGTCTGCCTCTTCATTGCCCTCGTACCCTGTATGTGCTGGTACCCATGCTAGAGTCAATCTGTTCTGACTGCCCAGTGCATTTAGGGTTTCTAAGCACTCCCATACTAGTTTTGAGTTAACTTGCATAGAGTTGACTGCTTTGATTGCCGCCTGGCTATCTGAATAGATTGCATTGGTTTTGCCTTTGAACTCTTGCCTTATCAATTTTTTCACGCAATGATGTATTGCAATAATTTCTGCCTGAAACACCGTCGCGTATTTGCCTAAGCTCAGTGAGATTCTTGTCTTTGGCTTGGCCCCATAAATACCAGCTGCTGATCCTTCCTCAGTTTTGGAGCCGTCCGTATAGACAGCAATGTCTGCATTGATAGGAGGTCCTTTCTTCCATGCCTCTCTGTCCGTTATACTTAATTTAAAAGTTTTTTAAAAGCTATATTTTGGAATTATGCCATCCGTTGGCATCCCCATGATGGGGTCGCTTTCCAACTCTTCATATAGCTTCCTATAGTCTTTACCGTGCGCGTTGCTTATGGGTGCTTGACCACTTGACAATCTACTCAGGACTGCTCTGGCTTCGCCTTGAATATATATTTGTAGTGGTGGTAGGTTCAAGAGGACCTCTAAAGCGGCTGTTGGAGTGGTTTTCATTGCACCAGTGGCACTCAGGCACGCTTGCCTTTGAATAGCACTGAGCCTTCGAATCACTCCAGCCTGTTGTGTCTTTGGCCACCAAACTACTGACCCATATGCTATCATAGGCCTGAAAGTAACGATTTACAAATATGTTTATTAAAGGGAACAAAAAAAATTATTGCATTACATTTAGGGAATAAAGTGGTATTTTAAATCCCTAGCCAAAAAGTTTATAGCCCTACCAACGGGAGGGCTATAATTTATTATTATTATTATTATTAACTGACAATAAGGGCAGAGGCAGAGCTTATTATGCCCAGAAGTATAAATTTACATTACAGTACAAAGTGAGTGATATCGTAAAAACACAAGAATCGAAAATATCGACAATAAGGCAAATCAACACAATAGGTACAGTCAGAAATTAGAACACTGGAACGCGTCGAAACCATTCTTGAAACTGTTCATGCTTGGAGCCGCCACAACAGCCTCTGGGAGCGAATTCCATAACCCAAATACTCTATTGGCGAAAAAAGTTTGCCTGACGGTGGACTTGAAGTTTTCGCGTTCAAGCTTCATTGTATGTCCTCTCAGTCTGGGGTTCGTGTTCAGCTCAAAAGTATGCTGCATGTCGATGGAGAATGTGTCGGGTCCGTGTTCAGCTCAAAAATATGCTTCATGTCGATGGAGAATGTGTCGTGCAGTATGCGGTAGGTCAGAATACTCCTCTGGCTCGTCGGTCTTTGGAAAATAGAATCTTCAATCGGGTTAATCTGTCTTCATAGGATAAGTGCCTGAATGAGGGTACCATTCGGGTTGCAAGACGTTGGGTTCTCTTTAAGAATTGTATGTCTTTCACTAGGTGTGGAGACCAGATTTGAACACCATACTCTAGTAGAGGACGTATATACGACTTGTATAGTTGACCAAATAGTTGTGGACTAGGGTTGATGAAACACTTGCGCCTTAGAAAGATGCGACTGTTTGCTTTGTGTACAATATCTGTTATATGACCCGACCAGGAGAGTTTCTTGTTGATGGTGATACCTAGATCACGTTGCTCGTCCACGGACGGCACTGTATTGTTGAATAAACGGTAGTTGTGGAATGGATTGTTATTGCCAAGATGTAGTACACAACATTTGCTGTCATTCAAGGAGATGTCCCAGTCGGAGCACCATTGTTCTAGGAAAGCGAGATGAGGTTTGGAGCTGAGCACGACTGGTAGCTGGATTTCCAAAAAATTTACTGTCATCGGCAAAAAAAGAATGGTCCGAAGAGATAACATTTTGTAAGTCAGAAGCATATAATGGAACATCGTCGGTTCAAGGACTGATCCCTGTGGCACCCCTGATAGAACATCGTGGTAATTTGAAAATGAACTGTAGTTTTTTTATTTGAAGAGATTGAAATTTCAAATTCACAAGGGCTATATTAGCGATGATGGTGGTTCCCTTGAATCCAATGGGAAATCTCCTTCAACCACCTGTTTGATTGGAAGTAGACTCAACTTTTTTTTTCAAACGACACCCTGTATATTTCTATAGCCTATTTTATTCCTCTTAAAATGCTCTATTCAACTATGTATCACAATTTGAAATTCGTTTATCAATTGGCTGTCAAATTGAATTTCATTGAAATACATGAAGTTGGATGTGGCCCGAATACAATGACATTTCGTTGATTGATAGGCTTAGAAATCCAACCGTCCGGGAAGTGCTCACTTTCTGGACTCTTTTCCTTTGAGAAAGTAGCATTTTTCCGGTCTAGTTCGAGAAGTACGTACTTCCCGGGCTAGGCCGGGAAGTATCACATCGTTATTGTCACTGTAACTATGGAAATCTTGGTAGATATGGTTTTGATATCTACCATCTACTACTATAAGCTATTGAAAGCAGCTGCGATAGTGAGTTGGAAAATGTCCATATGAAATTTCCAATGTAACAGTTAGTAGGTATAGGTATTCTCTTCGAATTTCAGTATTGGATACAAATGAGAATTAATAAAGAAGAAGTTGTATTCTACAAAGAAATATGATATGGAAATGCGTCTCATTGATTTGTTATTCTACATGGTTGCCGAAAAAATTGTGTACGCAACAAGTACAAAAACAGTTTTTTTGACTCGAAGACTTCCAGGACTAGAATTTTGTCTACTCGTCCAAAAAAACAGTAATTTCCGGACTGGTTACGTAAATTACTATTCTGGAACTTTCAGCTTGAGATATTTTCGGTAATTTGTCTTCAATTGTCATACAAGGCGAATTTTTTCAATTCAGGAAAAGTTCCTTTTGAATGATTTTTATCCAATATTTCAAATGAGTAAGATTTCCAAGGACCGATTGATGCCAGTTACGAATCACTATCCAGGTCATGAATAATATACACGGTGGTCACTCACAAATGTTTCGAAAACAAATTATAAATGTAGTATTTGCACAAATGGGTCTCGACAAGGTCACAGAGACAGTATGGATATTCCTTGAATGGTAGAGAGGGGACGATTAAATCAAATTAAAATATTTGGGACTTATTCAATGTGCCGTTTCGATCCCTGAAAAATATTCAGCCGTCCCTAAAAAATATCCAGCAATACCTGAAGAAGACCAAGACGAATAAGTTGGTATAGAAGTACTGTCCATATGAAATTGTTGTGATTATGTATAGGGTGATTCACGATAAATGACCCTCCCCCCTCATCTAGCTCAGTTATTTTTGAACCGAACCCAAAATTTTAGGAATTATTTGAAATGATTTTTAATATTTATTTTTCCACTACATCAGAAAATACAAGGTAGTCCGAACAAATGATCTACTGGGTACTAGTTGATTGTTTCAAATGGGTCACCCTGTATTTCATTGCATTCTTAGATTCTCCATGAAGAGCTGATTTCATCACTTGGGTGTTCAAAAATCTATATTTTTCAACTAAAGATTTTTTTGTGTCCAAACTTCATTCTTGGTCAGAACGGCTTTCATGTCCCTATCTTAACTTTACTATCTACTATTTTCTCTACTCGTCAAAGCCATGTCTGCCAAAAATACAGTGACATACAAAATAACCGAATATCATTAAGTGTGACAGATTGAAAGTGAGACATCAAACTCAAAGCCTTCAGTTATTTCTAAATATCTTCGATTTTTCTACAAAGAATGGCCACTACTGATATACCATTGAAAAGAAAATAACAAGTTTCATTGAAAACAAAAAAATCAATATGACGCCCATAGGAAAAATAGAGTTGAAGATGGTGGCCGGGAGACGAAACGTCAGTTAGCAAATCTGAAAGCACTATCATGCAGTGGGAAAAAATGGCAATGCAAAAGTGCAGTTCACTTAGAAATCCTACAATAAATAGAGCCAGAAAATAATTAAATCGATTTTCCAAAATTTCTGTTTTTTCCGGACTTTTAAACAGCATATTGTGAGTTAAGAAAATGCACAACTTTGCCGCAAATTTTTTCTCTTATAGTTTCCGTGATCCCAATAGTGAGGATAAAATTTGAAACATCTTGTATAGTTATATAATATCCTAAGACAAGAGAATGATAATAAATTGACAACAATTCGACAAAGTAGGTAGCAATATTTTCCTAATTTGTCGAATTCTTGTCTGGTATTTAATTATTATGATTTTATTGCAGATTAATGACTGATAAGTCAAAACAATGAAATTAAAACACATGCCTCAAATTATTCTCGCGGCAATCTATAATGTAGGTATACTATCCC